CCTACAAACTACCCTCTAATATCTACCGTGTACCCTCTTCTCCCTACAAACTACCCTCTAATCCCTACCGTGTACCCTCTTCTCCCTACAAACTACCCTCTAATATCTACCTAACAACTAATCTCAACGGTGTACCCTCGTCTCCCTACAAACTACCCTCTAATACCCTCTACCGTGTACCCTTCTTCTACCCTCTAATATCTACGTGTACCCTCTTCTCCCTACAAACTAATATCTACCTACCCTCTAATCCCTACCGTGTACCCTCTTCTCCCTACAAACTACCCTCTAATATCTACCGTGTACCCTCTTCTCCCTACAAACTACCCTCTAATATCTACCGTGTACCCTCTTCTCCCTACAAACTACCCTCTAATTCCTACCGTGTACCCTCTTCTCCCTACAAACTACCCTCTAATACCCTCTTCTCCCTACAAACCTACCGTGTACCCTCTTCTCCCTACAAACTACCCTCTAATCCCTACCGTGTACCCTCTTCTCCCTACAAACTACCCTCTAATTCCTACCGTGTACCCTCTTCTCCCTACAAACTACCCTCTAATCCCTACCGTGTACCCTCTTCTCCCTACAAACTACCCTCTAATTCCTACCGTGTACCCTCTTCTCCCTACAAACTACCCTCTAATTCCTACCGTGTACCCTCTTCTCCCTACAAACTACCCTCTAATATCTACCGTGTACCCTCTTCTCCCTACAAACTACCCTCTAATATCTACCGTGTACCCTCTTCTCCCTACAAACTACCCTCTAATCCCTACCGTGTACCCTCTTCTCCCTACAAACTACCCTCTAATATCTACCGTGTACCCTCTTCTCCCTACAAACTACCCTCTAATCCCTACCGTGTACCCTCTTCTCCCTACAAACTACCCTCTAATTCCTACCGTGTACCCTCTTCTGCCTACAAACTACCCTCTAATATCTACCGTGTACCCTCTTCTCCCTACAAACTACCCTCTAATCCCTACCGTGTACCCTCTTCTCCCTACAAACTACCCTCTAATCCCTACCGTGTACCCTCTTCTCCCTACAAACTACCCTCTAATCCCTACCGTGTACCCTCTTCTCCCTATAGTATACCCTCTTCTCCCTACAAACTACCCTCTAATATCTACCGTGTACCCTCTTCTCCCTACAAACTACCCTCTAATCCCTACCGTGTACCCTCTTCTCCCTACAAACTACCCTCTAATATCTACCGTGTACCCTCTTCTCCCTACAAACTACCCTCTAATATCTACCGTGTACCCTCTTCTCCCTACAAACTACCCTCTAATATCTACCGTGTACCCTCTTCTCCCTACAAACTACCCTCTAATTCCTACTGTGTACCCTCTTCTCCCTACAAACTACCCTCTAATTCCTACTGTGTACCCTCTTCTCCCTACAAACTACCCTCTAATTCCTACTGTGTACCCTCTTCTCCCTACAAACTACCCTCTAATATCTACCGTGTACCCTCTTCTCCCTACAAACTACCCTCTAATATCTACCGTGTACCCTCTTCTCCCTACAAACTACCCTCTAATTCCTACTGTGTACCCTCTTCTCCCTACAAACTACCCTCTAATTCCTACTGTGTACCCTCTTCTCCCTACAAACTACCCTCTAATTCCTACCGTGTACCCTCTTCTCCCTACAAACTACCCTCTAATCCCTACCCTGTACCCTCTTCTCCCTATATTATACCCTCTAATCCCTACCATGTACCCTCTTCTCCCTACAGTATACCATCTAATATCTACCCTATACCCTGTATCTCTTCCCCCACCCAAAATACAGTGTCTTAAACAGATAATGGAGACCTCTTGATATCAAATTACTACGGCGTGGGTCTATTTCGTTCTTTTATTATTTGCGACTATTCCTGGAAAACTACCGGACATACAGAGGTTACAGGATGCTAGCAATAGGTACTTTCTAAATTGAAAGACATACCAGTATCCGGATCACATCATGAGTGGTAAATTTGTCACCACTTATATCAGATTGCGGCAGTGCAGCCGTGCGGATCCGCTATTAAATGCATATATCTACACTGTCTAACCTTGTGTAATTCTCTCGAGGTATCTAAACCTGTTCAGACTTCCTTGTTGATATAATGTGTGGTATATTTGTGTATACATTACTACAAGATGTTCTGGGAGAGTAAACCCTTTCAGATCAATTACGCTACGTAAAATAATTTGGATCACGTGTAGGTACCCGTGACAACATTTATTTGCAGAGCTATTTCACCTGGACACCAAACGTGATTCTGAGGTGAAGTATCCGCGTAGTAACTGGTGTGTACCTCACAGAACAACATACGGGTGGTCCGTCGGACACCATCAATGGCAACATATCATGGTTTGTCAAAGGTCAAAATCAGAACAAACCGATCTCAGATTATTGCGAGACACAAACAATCACGCTTAGAGAGCGTTGAACAACATACTTCATATCAGCATAATCATAATTCAAATCAAAACTCTATTAAACTAGAGTAAAATATGAACAAAACAAAGATTTATACGGAGACTCCGGAATAAGACCAGTTGTTCCGGAAGAGTAAGCGTGTATGTTCCTTCGACGACTCCCGTCACGAAAATCTAGGTCAATCCAAGTAAGTAATGTCACGTGCTCATGTGAGAACAAGGTATACAACAACGAAACAAACAGGTATAATTAAGTGAATCTACATTAGGGCCGACTGTGTTATTGGCTGACAGTATACCCAGATTAGTGGTACAAGTGGCTTACAGTATACCCAGATTAGTGGTACACGTGGCTTACAGTATACCCAGATTAGTGATACACGTGGCTTACAGTATACCCAGATTAGTGGTACACGTGGCTTACAGTATACCCAGATTAGTGATACACGTGGCTGACAGTATACCCAGATTAGTGATACACGTGGCTGACAGTATACCCAGACTAGTGGTACACGTGGCTTACAGTATACCCAGATTAGTGATACACGTGGCTTACAGTATACCCAGATTAGTGATACACGTGGCTTACAGTATAACCAGATTAGTGGTACAAGTGGCTTACAGTATACCCAGATTAGTGATACACGTGGCTTACAGTATACCCAGACTAGTGGTACACGTGGCTTACAGTATACCCAGATTAGTGATACACGTGGCTTACAGTATACCCAGATTAGTGGTACACGTGGCTTACAGTATAACCAGATTAGTGATACACGTGGCTGACAGTATACCCAGATTAGTTAGTGATACACTAGTGGTACACGTGGCTTACAGTATACCCAGATTAGTGATACACGTGGCTTACAGTATACCCAGATTAGTGGTACAGGTGGCTTACAGTATACCCAGATTAGTGGTACACGTGGCTTACAGTATACCCAGATTAGTGATACACGTGGCTTACAGTATACCCAGATTAGTGGTACAAGTGGCTTACAGTATACCCAGATTAGTGGTACCTTACAGTATACCCAGACCACGTGGCTTACAGTATACCCAGACTATTTGTACAGGTGGCTTACAGTATACCCAGATTAGTGATACACGTGGCTTACAGTATACCCAGATTAGTGGTACACGTGGCTTACAGTATACCCAGATTAGTGATACACGTGGCTTACAGTATACCCAGATTAGTGGTACACGTGGCTTACAGTATACCCAGATTAGTGATACACGAGGCTGACAGTATACGCAGATTAGTGGTACACGTGGCTTACAGTATACCCAGATTAGTGGTACACGTGGCTTACAGTATACCCAGATTAGTGGTATAAAGCTTGTAATAATACATACTTCTGTACTGATAATTATACGATCGTCATCGTCATCATTTAATATAAACTGACCAAACATGACAATAACCGTACATATTATCATTTGTATATTTAAGCAGTTATACTGCATTTCGTTCGTGATACTGTACATGAAGAAATACTTCACAAAACATCCAGATTCGCACAGAGGCCGACTAACAAGCCGTACATATGCTCATTTAATTCTCAGACATAACTTATCATTGATATATCATTTTAAGTTAATCAAGTAGTGCGAGGTTATACAATATGGATTTATTTAGCTTACAACAGATAAGAAATCGGATTGCCCCACTTTGTCAGGAAGGTGACTCCATACTTGTCCATGATCACACCATGAGACGAACTCCGAACGTTGAAACGAAAACATGAATTTGTTTCCACTTTGCCATCGGCATATTACAACTTCAATTCAATTTCAACATATTTTATTTCAGTTGATATGATAATAAGATCGGACAGCAGGTTATGTGTATGCAAAACCTCTCCAAATTTAGTGTATTAATACAGCATCTATTCTGTTTTATTGATCGATCCATAGGGATAAAACGGGCAAGGGGAGGTAACTCATATTTGTTATGGGATAACCTATGATATTTGCATGAGGTTAATAAGTTTTGAAGTATGATCTGAGCATTTTATCGAAATAATGCAATCACTACAAATTTATTAATAATCTATTTTACATATATCCTGGGATACAGGCACACATCTCCACCAACACGATTTTACCGAAACTAACCTAAACTTAGCAGAAGTGACCGAACACAATAAGAACATACCAACACTCATCGAATGCCACAAGAACCTACCAAAACTGACCACGTTCTACTGAGCACATTTGATTGACCTTGACCATAAACGACCAAACGTTTACTAAACCAGTCAATTAGACCAAGATACACAAATTACCAACAGAAAGTTCCTACCAGAACCATTCAAACGACGAAAACGTCGAGCTTGTCTGATGAGCTCTTCCGAATGTTTTTAATACGGACATCCTCTATTTTCTACAATACTAAATGGACAAATACTTTGACTTCAGATATTTAAAACCGGAAGCATATAACTCGGAAACTGGTATGGTTTATGACATCCTTAACTTTTGAGAAAACGCAAGTCCAAAAAATAACACAATGGTAAATTTTAAACTTGTATCTTGATAAAATAAGAAATTACTCACATCGTACTGTCAAACTATATGTGACATTTGAAGATCCAATGTTGTTTACAGCAATGCAAGTGTAGTTTCCTTGTTCTGATCTCTTCAGTTGTCCCAGTGACAACACAGGTGACACAGTAAAGTTGATGTTGTCCGGTCGTGTCCAGACAAATGTACAGTCAGGTCTACAGTCCGCTGTACAGGTGATGTCCGGTAACGTGTCCCCCTCGTCTCCGGTGTGGACACGGTCAGAAGGAGAAATATCTATAGATGAAGTGGGGCCATCTTAAAGAAAAACATGACAATTAAATACACATCTCCCATGATTACTTTTTATGGTATTTTCTCATAGATTCTGTACTTTAATATTGCGGAGTTATCTACCTTATGAACGGGTGTGGAATGTTATATCTGCAAGAAAACACTACAACACACAGAATTTTTTACATTTAATAGGAAACACAGAGGTCGTTTGATGCGAGACATTTCATCACAAATCAGGACTGTGTATTCCGTACATATTATCATTTGCATATTTAAGCAGTTATACTGCATTTCGTTCGTGACGCTGTACATGAAGAAATACTTCACAAAACATCCAGATTCGCACAGAGGCCGACTAACAAGCCGTACATATGCTCATTTAATTCTCAGACATAACTTATCATTGATATATCAATTTAAGTTAATCAAGTAGTGCGAGGTTATACAATATGGATTTATTTAGCTTACAACAGATAAGAAATCGGATTGCCCCACTTTGTCAGGAAGGTGACTCCATACTTGTCCATGATCACACCATGAGACGAACTCCGAACGTTGAAACGAAAACATGAATTTGTTTCCACTTTGCCATCGGCATATTACAACTTCAATTCAATTTCAACAGATTTTATTTCAGTTGATATGATAATAAGATCGAACAGCAGGTTATGTGTATGCAAAACCTCTCCAAAATTTAGTGTATTAATACAGCATCTATTCGGCATTTGATTGATCGATCCATAGGTATAAAACGGGCAAGGGGAGGTAACTCATATTTGTTATGAGAATCTATGAGGCAAATAAAGTTTCAAGTATGATCTGAACATTTTATCAAAATTATGCAATCAATACAAATTTATTCATTTTCAAACATGAGTATTACAAACACAAAGGCTACAGACATCACGTAAGTACAACTTCAGACGACATCGCAATAATATATCAATAACTCTTACATAACTTACATTCGACGTTAAGAATGGGCTGTATTGTATCAAAGACAAAACCATCGTCCGTGTTGTAGGCAGAGCAAATAACGCGTCGTCCATGCAAGGCTCTGGTGATTTGCAGGGTTAATATGCTCACTGTAACGAAGGACAAGATTGTTCCTTGCACTCTGGATGAACTAAATGAGGTATAGTTTAAACCTCCAACTGACCACAGAACGCTGGCTGCAGGTCGACAAGGACTGGTCACACACACTAGGTCAATGACATCAAATTCTGTTACAGGTGGAGGCGGATTCTGCAACTCAATGCTGGTCACTTGTTCTGCAAACAATAATATAAAGTAATTCTATAAGTATGTATACAACGATATTACCTAATAATGACTTTGTCAGCTGATATCATGGGACGTGTTCCTAGACACTAAACTGTCTACACTGGTCAGCTGATATTATAGAATGTGTTCCAAGATACTTATCTAGACACAGATAGTTAGGTTAGATGCATCTGAGGCAATTAATGAATTAAACTTCATCTTGCAGCTGTTTTGCCCTTCTAGGACTCATCATTGATGCTACATCATACAGCTGTTTCATCCTTCTAGGACTCGTCAGTGGTGCTACACCATACGGCTGTTTTGTCCTTCTAGTACTCGTCAGTGTTGCTACATCATACAGCTGTTTTGTTCTTCTAGGACTCGTCAGTGTTGCTACATCATACAGCTGTTTCATCCTTCTAGGACTCGTCAGTGATGCTACATCATGCAGCTGTTTCGTCCTTCTTCGACTCGTCAGTGATACTACATCATGCAGCTGTTTCGTCCTTCTTCGACTCGTCAGTTATATTACATCATACAGCTGTTTCGTCCTTCTAGGACATGTCAGTGATGCTACATCATACAGCTATTTCGTCCTTCTAGGACTCCTTAGTGATGTTACATCGTTCAGATGGTTCGTCCTTCTAGGATTCGTCAGTTATGTTACATCATACAGCTGTTTCGTCCTTCTAGGACTCGTCAGTGATGCTACATCATTCAGATGGTTCGTCCTTCCAGGACTCGTCAGTGATGCTACATCATTCAGATGGTTCGTCCTTCTTCGACTCGTCAGTTATATTACATCATACAGCTGTTTCGTCCTTCTAGGACATGTCAGTGATGCTACATCATACAGCTATTTCGTCCTTCTAGGACTCCTTAGTGATGTTACATCATTCAGATGGTTCGTCCTTCTAGGATTCGTCAGTTATGTTACATCATACAGCTGTTTCGTCCTTCTAGGAATCGTCAGTGATGCTACATCATACAGCTGTTTCGTCCTTCTAGGAATCGTCAGTGATGCTACATCATTCAGATGGTTCGTCCTTCTAGGAGTCGTCAGTGATGCTACATCATTCAGATGGTTCGTCCTTCTAGGATTCGTCAGTTATGTTACATCATACAGCTGTTTCGTCCTTCTAGGACTCGTCAGTGATACTACATCATTCCGATGGTTCGTCCTTATAGGACTCGTCAGTGATGCTACATTATAAAGCTGTTTCGTCCTTCTAGGATTCGTCAGTTATGTTACATCATACAGCTGTTTCGTCCTTCTAGGACTCGTCAGTGATGCTACATCATTCAGATGGTTCGTCCTTATAGGACTCCTCAGTGATGCTACATCATTCAGATGGTTCGTCCTTCTAGGATTCGTCAGTTATGTTACATCATACAGCTGTTTCGTCCTTCTAGGAATCGTCAGTGATGCTACATCATTCAGATGGTTCGTCCTTCTAGGAGTCGTCAGTGATGCTACATCATTCAGATGGTTCGTCCTTCTAGGATTCGTCAGTTATGTTACATCATACAGCTGTTTCGTCCTTCTAGGACTCGTCAGTGATACTACATCATTCCGATGGTTCGTCCTTATAGGACTCCTCAGTGGTGCTACATCATTCAGATGGTTCGTCCTTCTAGGATTCGTCAGTTATGTTACATCATACAGCTGTTTCGTCCTTCTAGGACTCCTCAGTGGTGCTACATCATTCAGATGGTTCGTCCTTATAGGACTCCTCAGTGGTGCTACACCATACAGATGGTTCGTCCTTCTAGGATTCGTCAGTTATGTTACATCATACAGCTGTTTCGTCCTTCTAGGAATCGTCAGTGATGCTACATCATTCAGATGGTTCGTCCTTCTAGGAGTCGTCAGTGATGCTACATCATTCAGATGGTTCGTCCTTCTAGGATTCGTCAGTTATGTTACATCATACAGCTGTTTCGTCCTTCTAGGACTCGTCAGTGATACTACATCATTCCGATGGTTCGTCCTTATAGGACTCCTCAGTGGTGCTACATCATTCAGATGGTTCGTCCTTCTAGGATTCGTCAGTTATGTTACATCATACAGCTGTTTCGTCCTTCTAGGACTCGTCAGTGATGCTACATCATTCAGATGGTTCGTCCTTATAGGACTCCTCAGTGGTGCTACACCATACAGATGGTTCGTCCTTCTAGGATTCGTCAGTTATGTTACATCATACAGCTGTTTCGTCCTTCTAGGAATCGTCAGTGATGCTACATCATTCAGATGGTTCGTCCTTCTAGGAGTCGTCAGTGATGCTACATCATTCAGATGGTTCGTCCTTCTAGGATTCGTCAGTTATGTTACATCATACAGCTGTTTCGTCCTTCTAGGACTCGTCAGTGATACTACATCATTCCGATGGTTCGTCCTTATAGGACTCCTCAGTGGTGCTACATCATTCAGATGGTTCGTCCTTCTAGGATTCGTCAGTTATGTTACATCATACAGCTGTTTCGTCCTTCTAGGACTCGTCAGTGATGCTACATCATTCAGATGGTTCGTCCTTATAGGACTCCTCAGTGGTGCTACACCATACAGATGGTTCGTCCTTCTAGGATTCGTCAGTTATGTTACATCATACAGCTGTTTCGTCCTTCTAGGAATCGTCAGTGATGCTACATCATTCAGATGGTTCGTCCTTCTAGGAGTCGTCAGTGATGCTACATCATTCAGATGGTTCGTCCTTCTAGGATTCGTCAGTTATGTTACATCATACAGCTGTTTCGTCCTTCTAGGACTCGTCAGTGATACTACATCATTCCGATGGTTCGTCCTTATAGGACTCCTCAGTGGTGCTACATCATTCAGATGGTTCGTCCTTCTAGGATTCGTCAGTTATGTTACATCATACAGCTGTTTCGTCCTTCTAGGACTCGTCAGTGATGCTACATCATTCAGATGGTTCGTCCTTATAGGACTCCTCAGTGGTGCTACACCATACAGATGGTTCGTCCTTCTAGGACTCGTCAGTTATGCTACACCATACAGATGCTTCGTCCTTCTAGGACTCGTGAGTGATGTTTGATTTCATAAACGCTGTCTCCGCATATCCACACATTTTCAATGCTATAAATCACACAAAATTCCGTAAACGATGCTGTAACAATATGCCCTACACGTATCGCCCCAAATTGTAGTTTGGACACGCTAGAACGAACAATTGTCACTTCAATTCATGCCTGTATGCTGTTTAATATAAATTATATAAATCCCCCTAATGCTTTTCCTAATAGTTCCCACCCTACCTTCCTAAAGTTGTTTTAAATGATAAAATTCTTAAAATCACAATCATGGTTATAATTGTGGCATAATCATACTCCTTAAAGTGATGACGCTAACTTTAGGTAAGTGAAGACATCAAAGCGATTTTGAGTATGAACCGTCTTTTCTTCAGTACAATACTTATCTAACTTTCCCTATAAAAGTCTGGGATGAGCTCGTGAAATGTTTGCTTGAAGGGGAAGGCCGGGGGACTGTTTCAGTGTCAAATACTCTCTATAAATAGAAATGTACTGAAAACATAGCCCTGGAGAGCGCAGCCTGATAATCAACACATTTTCTTTTCTTTATTAGTAAATGTAAAATCGAATCTAGATTCGCTTGAACAATGCTCACCAAACACGTTCAAAGTGTAGTCCGTACTATCTGCGGTTGGGTTCGTCAGGTTGGTGTTTTCGCGTCTACAGAACCACAGTGAGTTATGGTCTCCTGGAATTGGTATGATTACAAGCACGAATTCACTCGCGTACTGAAACGTTGATGGTTGGCACGAACATACATCCGGGGTACAGAGTGTTGATATTCCATCTAGGATTTTGTAACATTGATCTCCTGTTACTTGTATTGTCTGGGGTGATTGAGTCATTAAAGGCCGGCGGTAAAATTTAACACTGCTGGCTTCCTCCGGTACGTCACATGTCAAGTTAAAAGCTCTGCCCGGGATGGCATATTCGGCCGATCCAGTCAGCGTGACGGCCCCTGCAGGATAGAAAAAAAATGACCAGTGTCCTTTTAGTGGTTGACGAAGAGCCATTGAAATAGTTATAACACATTCTTAGTGTAAGCACAACTACAGCGATGCCTACTATTGGATTACTAACAAAGAAAGTAGCTGAAGATCAAGATTTAATCCAGAATATGTCATTGTATATAGAAAAAAGTTTCTACTCTATTTCATTTTAAGAAGATAGTCCAGTTGATACGGCGAGACAACGCATTGGAACAACAAGGCCGAAAAAATTCTGTTCGGATTATCGGTCTAGAGAGTGATCGGTCTGAGACGGCTGATGCTTGTGTAGAAAAGTGTGCTAAATTTTTCAGGGATAACCTCAAAGTAGACGTCCAGGGAACGGATATAGACATTGCCCATAGACTTGGACCGCGTTCCACTATCTGCAAATTTACGCGCAGGATGAAAAAATTGAAGTGCTAAAAGCCAGGAAAGAACTGAAAGGTAAGGAGATATATATTTTTGAGGACCTGACCCAGGAAAACCAGCAAATTCTAAAACGTGCGCACGTGCTCGAATGTGTTGAGAACTCTCGGTCAATTGACGGTAAACTTTTTGTGAAACTGAAAAACGGGAAGAAGCGAAAGATCTGTGACGATACAATTCTGACCAGTATGTACCTGCTGAATGACGCGAATTTCGCGATTTAATTAGCGTGAGTGTAAAGACTGAAACGCTCATCATACGTGAGTACTGCATGTCCACCAAGAACTGAAACAATCCCCCCCCGTATTGTGTTAGTATACATTTTTCAAAGTTGAATTACCCCTAAATGGTAATTGAAACCAATAACTACTAACTACTTGTAGATACCAGTGTTTGTATTGCAGTCACATTTATGTATGTATGGTGAAATTGTACTGTTACATAGAATTTCAATATATTCGAAACCCGTCTTACTAGATCGCTGAAATTCTCAATGAATACACATGTATTGTTTTTTCCCCTATACATGATGGTTTTCATGAGCGATAATATGGTAAACTGAATTACTCCTGTTTTTGTAATTAATAGTCCCACTCCCCCCCCCCCCCCCCCCCCCCTCCCCCCCGGCACTCGCACCAGTACATACACCTGTACATGTACATGTATGGATAGGAAAAAAATAACACTCGTTTGCTTGTACCGTATGTGTGTACAGGTGAGGTACGGTGCGTCCGTGCATATATATGAATAGATCATTACTGCAGTATGTACTGAGGTGTGTGTCAATAAATATATATCGAACAGATTCACGAATTGAAAGATAGTAATATTGTAAATGTTTATAAGGGTACATTGTACATCAGTGTTATACATACACTATGTACATGTTGATCTCTGATGTACATTGTAGTACATGTAATCCATTTGTAATTTGGGTCAGTATTCTGTTATATCTTTATATTACATGTAATATCCAGTACACCAGGCACAGATCTATACGTGTGCTTATTTGATCATTATATTTTTGGTCGGTGTTTGAATTACAGTGTACTTTTTACTGGTAAACATTGCATTAATAACTGATCATGATTGATATATTGTACATGTATACGTCTATCTGTTTATTATAAATGTTTCAATTAAAAAAAAAAAAAAAACGAAATAAAGTTATGAGTGTGTGTGTCAATCGGATTGGGGTCAGATCCTACGGTCGCTGGGTTGCTCTGCGTTAGATGTTACATTAAACCAAGGGGACTTGGTGCGGGTTCCAGACCCGCAGCCCGTATGTGTGTGTATTAATATAATACGTATAGGTGTGGGCTGTGGGTTTGGAATTCGTGCCGGGTCCCTGTGCGCTAGACGTAGAGTAACGTAGTGATTGTGGGGTCTGATTTTAGTCGGATTGTGTGTGTTGGTGTGAATATGTTCAGAGTGAAACTGTAACAATAGATAGATAAATATACTCTGATTATGTAAATACATGTATTAGGATCACCGAAATATTTTCACACTATTCTGGATTCCTTCTACCGCTTTCCGCTTTCCTCTATTCTTATGTTTCTACTTCCTTTTTGTTAGTTCCGGTCTAGCCACGGGTGAGGGTTCGAATGTAAATTATGTAGTGAGAAGATGCGTGCATTAGATAGTGGGTCACTATATTCTGACCATGGTTTGTATGTTTTACATCTTTTCCTTTTCTCCCCTCTCCCCCTTTCATACGCCCTTCTGTGTCTGTATGTCTTTGTCTTGTGAGGTACTGTTCTCCTTTTACACATACATGTATCTGAGGAAGATCTATGAACACAAATGACATCACGGTACTGTCGGCGAACTGCCAGGGGTTGTGTGATAGGATTAAAAGGAAAGATATGTTTTCTTATTTAAGAGAGAAAAGGTATAGTATTTACTGTCTGCAGGACACTCACTTTTCTTCAGAACAGGAACAAATTATTAGAAATGAATGGGGTTTTCATACTCATTTCAGCTCTTTTAAATCTAATGCACGTGCCGTGGCTATTCTCTTGAATAACAACTTTGAATTCAAAGTATATAAGGAAAAAAGGACGTAAACGGTAATTTCCTTGCTTTAGATATAGATATTGATGGTTAAGAACAACACTTATTTCTCTATATGGACCAAACCAGGACACCCCAGGCTTTTATGATTTAGTCGTAGATACTATTGATAACTTTGGAAACGATAATATTATTATATGTGGGGATTTCAACCTAGTCAAATTTAGATTATGATAACAATTACAGCATGTAAATAATCCTGCAGCTAGAAATAAAGTTCTGGAAATTATTCAAAATTTCAATCTAGTTGACATTTTTAGGGAACATCACTCAGATATTAGACGTTATACTTGGCGAAAAGCAAATCCTGTGAAACAAGCCAGATTAGACTTTTTTCTTATCTCAGAATCTCTTCTATCTAGTATAAATAAGTCCAGAATTGAACAAGGTTATAGATCTGACCATTCTATTCCAACAATATCTTTGATTTTGAATGAATTTAAAAAAGGGAAGGGTCTTTGGAAATTTAACAACTCTTTATTATTTGATTCTGAATATCTGGACATGGTTAAAACTTGCATTGAGGGGGTTAAGCTGCAGTATTGTTTACCTGTGTATAATCTTGAGTCTGTTAAAAATATCCCTAGCAGTGACTTGCAATTTTTGATAAACGATCAGTTATTTTTGGAAACATTACTAATGGATATAAGGGGTAAGTCTATATCTTTTGCATCTTTTAGGAAAAAGCAAGCTAATCTAAAGGAAGATAACCTTTAAGTATTCTATAGAATCATTAGAGTCGGAATCAGATCCAGACCAGGGGGAATTAGACAGAGTAAAAAAGGATTTAGACACCATTCGATTGAAAAAAGTAAAGGGTAGTTTAATTAGATCTAGGGCTAAATGGATTCAGGAGGGGGAGAAACCAACATCTTACTTTCTAAATTTAGAAAATAGAAATTTCACTTCGAAAATCATACCTAAAATGCAGAAAAATAATGGAAGTATTATTACCAATCAAGTGGATATTTTGGCAGAAGTAAGATTATTTTATGAAAATTTATATAAGTTTAGAAAAACTGATAATATAGAGTTAGAAACACATCTAGAAAACTGTAACATGCCAAAGTTAAGTAAAATAGAATCAGATAGCTTAGAGGGTAGGATAACTTTGCAAGAAGCTGGGAAAGTACTTAAAGGCATGCAAAATAATAAGAGCCCGGGATCGGATGGTTTCACTTCAGAATTTTTTAAAGTTTTCAGGGGAGAAATTGGTAGCTTTGTTGTACGCTCTTTAAATTATGGTTTTTATATTGGTCAATGTTCAGTTACACAAAGACATGGTGTCATCGTATGTATTCCTAAGGGAGACAAGCCACGCCACTTCTTAAAAAAATGGAGACCAATAACATTTTTGAATATTACCTACAAAATTGCCTCCGGGGTAATCACACAAAGAATAAAAACAGTTTTGAGCAAAATTATTAATGAAGATCAGACTGGGTTTTTATCAGGTAGGTATATAGGTGAAAATATCCGTACAGTGTGTGATGTAATGCATTATGTAGAAGAACTCCATATTCCAGGTATGTTAATGTAAGTAGATTTTGAAAAAGCATTTGATAGTGTTTCATGGGGGTTTATAGATAAAGTTTTAAAATATTTTAACTTTGGGGAAGATATACGCAAGTGGATAAAATTATTTAATAATAATGTATATGCTTCTATTAATCAATGTGGGAATCTTTCAAAACGTATTAATATTGAAACAGGTTGTCGTTAAGGTGACCCAATATCTCCTTATATCTTTTTTTATGTGCTGAAGTTCTAGCAGCAAGAATTAGAAATAATGAGTTTATTAAAGGCATTGATGTAGATAATGTACCAATTCTAAATGTGAAATATGCAGATGACACTGGTTTAATATTAGATGGCTCAGAGAGGTCGCTTAATGAGTCTATCTCAGAGTGAGATAACTATGCAAAGATTTCTGGTTTAAACATTAATACTAATAAAACTCAAATTATATGGTTAGGGAGTTGTAAATACAGTGATGTAACATATCGGCCAGATTTGAATCTGCAGTGGGGGGAAAAGTAGATTTACATTTCTGGGTATCGATTTTTCGGTTGATTTGGATCAAATACCTAGATTAAATTTTGACAAAAAAAATGTAAAACTTAAAGCACTTCTTACTTCTTGGAAGCGACGGAGCTTAACTCCAATTGGCAAAATTAATGTTATTAAGTCTCTCTTGATTTCACAACTTAATTATCTATTTATTACCTTGCCAAACCCATCAGAAACATATATTGCTACAATAAATTCTTTATTATTTGATTTTTTGTGGAATGGTAAGTGCAATAAGATTAAAACAGATGTCATTATTCAAAATAATAATAATGATGGACTAAATTTGATTGACTTATATTCTTTCATTCATTCTTTAAAATTAGGCTGGATAAGAAAATTATTTATGTTATTAGGCAAATGGTATCTGATCCTTAAGTCAACTATAGATCTAAATAAGTTGTTTAAATGTGGAGACGATTATGTATATTTATGTGGATCAAGATGCCGCA